GCCGCGAGCCGAGGAGCAGGCCGCCCGCGGGTCCCTGAGCCCGTCTCTGTGTGCTTGTGTCCCGCAGAGCCGGGGGAAGTCTCCAGGCCGGCGGGCCGCCCAGTCAGACCGGGACTCCTGGCCTCCCAGCTCCAGTAAGATCGCCACTCTGTCTCCCACCCTGGTAGGCGCAGTAAAACTCAGTGGTGAAATCAACAGCGTGGCACAGCGCAGATCAGGAGGAATGTGGTAAATGGTGAAGGGTGACGGAAACCCCGGCCCCCGGTGGCTTCTTGTTGTGTGACCCCCGGCCTTGTCCCGCTCTCTGTGTTCCAGAGATGTCTCATTCCCACAGCAGTCCTGTTCTCTCCAGCTCCGCCACCACCAAAGTGCTGTACTTCACCGACCGCTCCCTCACACCCTTCATGGTCAACATCCCCAAGAGGTGAGTCCAGAGAGGAGAGAGGGAGGTGCAGACAGGAGGAGAGAGGAGAGGGAGAGGTGCAGACAGGAGGAGAGGGGAGGTACAGACAGGAGGAGAGGGGAGGTGCAGACAGGAGGAGAGAGGAGAGGGGGAGGTGCAGACAGGAGGAGAGGGGAGGTACAGACAGGAGGAGAGGGGAGGTACAGACAGGAGGAGAGAGGAGAGGGGGAGGTGCAGACAGGAGGAGAGGGGAGGTACAGACAGGAGGAGAGAGGAGAGGGGCAGGTACAGACAGGAGGAGGGTGGGGAGAGGGTATAAGGTAGAGAGAGGAGGAAATAGGCTGTCTGCCATCGGTCAGGAGCAGTGTGAGGCTGACTTCAGTGGATGGGCAGGGTGACTGGTGCCTATGTGTCCCACAGGCTGGGTGAGGTGACGCTGAGAGACTTCAAAGCCGCTGTGGACAGAGAGGGCAGCTACAGGTACCACTTCAAAGCTCTGGACCCTGAATTTGGCACCGTAAAGGAAGAGGTACGTATTGGCTGCTCACACAGCTGCCTGCTCTTTTGGACTGTAGCACCTTACTGACCAACACAGTTTAAAACTGGTACCTTTAACACTGTGTTGACATACGCTGATGTCTGCCCACTAGTATACATGTTGCCATGTGTGAGAAACGATCATCTTATTCAATTATACAGAACTATAGCACATTAAAATGGGCTTCTCGCATGAAGAATGGATCTGTGCAGTTTTTGCACATTAGCACGTCCTTGTCAGAGATGCATAAAGTTAAATATTTGCACGAGTGTCTGCATCAGGCCCTGCATGACGCGTAGAAATTTAACAGCATGATCTGTTAGTGAATGAGTGTTAGATCAGTGTGGCCTGTCTTCAGGTGACCCCCTGCAACAGGGCTAATCAAGTGAAAAAGCAGTCAGTTAATCAATCAAGTTATCAGTAACATCAGCAGGTTGACCATTAACCAATCAACCTGTCAGTATCATCCACAGCCTGACCATTAACCAATCAACCTGTCAGTATCATCCA